ATACTCCCGAACACACACACACATTGTCAAGTATTAGCCTAGAATAAACCTGTGTTTTCTACACTGCAACAGCTGCTTCTAATTTCATGTTCGTATCAGCAGGTTTCTGGAGAATGTCCAGTATGATATATGTCGTGGACTTCTCACGTATATTTTTTTTTAAATTGATTTATATTCAGGTAATAAGCTGAATCAGCCTTAAGTGTTAGTTGACAGTTATCTCCAGATGTACATTGAAAGAAAGAGTATCAACAACACACAGGAAGAAAAAATATTGGAGCTAAATGATTAATATTTTAAGGTGTCAAGAATCAGCAGTATTGGTATGTTAATTTACATGCAAGTGAGATAAGGAAATAAATTACAATAAAAGTGTCAGCTTTTCTCCTGGCATGGGGTAAAAAAAATACAGGGTAAAAACTGCCAAGTGATCCACTGATAGTGTTTTCACTATTCACAATTTAAAAAAAATGTTTTGGTGAGGTGATGTATGATGACTATATTGAGGAGCTTATTATGAAAAAGAGGACAATTGGTATATATATGTTTTGGCGTAAATTGTAAATCTAGTGATCTAACACAATTCAGATGCTTGATTTCTTCAAGAGAAATTTGTGATTCTCCCAGTAATGAAGTTAAGGCTTTTCCAAAGGTCAGGATAATTGCCCATGGGTTTTCTTCTCCATGCATACTATAGGTAATTTTCTTGTCGACTGCAGATTGATTACATCTTCTCTCCCCATTTTGGTCTCAAAGCTAGAATGTATTTCGGAGATTTATCATGGTCCCTATGTTCAGATGGATGCTTGAGGTTATAAAGAGATGTTCCAAAAGTGCACCTATATTTCTGGTTTCATGCACATCTTTTACAACAGTACTACAATATCATGATCTTTGTCATGTAGGAAATTCCTTGGTGATGGTTCTACATGGTTCTAGATGCTTCTGTTTGGATATATGTGCAGTTGTTTAATGCTAAGCACCATTATTTGTAAGGGTTGACTTGACATGAGAGTGGGTAGGGAGGCTTAAAACTGACTTTAATACTAAAATCTTCAACCTCTCCCGACATAAAGCCTCGTTTTATGAAACAAAGTTGGCACACAATCACCATTAAACTGGCTTTTTACTCTGTTTTAGGGCTTCTAACCTCTCTTGTGCTTTCCTTTCACAGAAATGCTCTGACACTTCGATAAAATGCAGCCATGCACCATACCAAACCAAGGAATGATCTTACTGTAAACTATAGCTTGTATTTTATTGTTGTTGTTTTTTTGCAGTTGATGTTACATTTTCTGTCTATATAACAATGACATTGATTTAAAGAAATATTCCTATTTTGGCAATATTTCCAAAATCCAAGATGGTGAACAACCTCCTGTGGTAAATCCTACATACCCTATAGAATACATATGAAACACCATATACAGACCACACTGGAAACAAATGTTTTCTGAAGTTGGCCTTATGAAGTCTTCTCTCATGAAGAACCAATATTGATTGGTCCATAAAAAAGGACATTAAAATATTTAATTCCAACCCTAAAAAAAATTGACAAAGAAGCAGCCTCTTACACCTTATAGATCACTTCCACAATCAGGATGTAGAAGATATCTTTAAAAAGTCATATCTCAGTTATTCTTGTTTTGAAACTATAAAATACATATTTTTCCAAAGGAAAGTGTGTAGGCCCTAGGTTTCTATTGGAGAAAAACATACATCCAGTTCATTTCAGCACTTTCCTGACTTTAGATGATTACACTTTTGACCTTTACCTTTAGTTTGCTTTGCAAAGGTCATGCACAAGTTCTGCTTCATTGATGTCCACACTTATCAAGGTCATGCGCAAGCTCTACTTCATTGATGTCCACATTGTCAAGGTCATGGGCAAGCTCTGATAAATACCCATGTAAAACAAGTTGTTCGGGTCGTGTGAGAAACAATTTATCCCTATGTAATAATTCTACACATTATTCATAGCTTAAATAGTCAAGTAAATTGTAATCAACAAAGCATCATTTTTGGTAGAGGGGGCTTTATTGTTATTACAAACACTTTCCTAGTCCTGATAGATATACAAGTTTTTATCTGATCTTAATTTTGTCTTGTCAAATGGCTGCCCTATCTTGAAGTTTATTCTGGCCCTGAACAACCATAGCTGTTCATGGGCCATTCAACACAAACAAACAAACAAACAAACAAGATGGACCAAAGTGGAGAAGGGGTATATTTGAATGGAGGGTGTCTATTTTTGGTCAAATACGGTATGTAAATTAGTTCAAGATTGTTAAATACTGACATGGCAGTTCGGTGTAATTTATCCTTTTGAAATCTAACAATTTGTGAACTTTGCAAGAACCTGGCCAACAACCCTTTTCTAAAAGTTTATTCACATAATCAACTTGATTGGATTAATTTTTGTTAACACTCTTGCCGATGAGATGAGCTCTTCCTCTGTTAATATATATATATGTAAGCCTTTTTTGTCAACAGCTGTAACAACTCAATTGACTGTGTGTATCACTGCATCTCTGTTCTTGTAACATTCTCTCAACAAGGTTCTTAAACGGTTTAGTTATATCTTAGAACTCAAGTTTAAGGAGGGAAAGATTAATGATGCAAACCGCTTTTTTCCCGTTTTGAGACACTTTATATGTTGTGCAGGGATTATTTCACTTTTGGATTTATTGACAACATATGACAAAATACGTAAGTGCTGTTATGGTTATGATATATGTGTTATGACACATAAATGTTAAATAACTAAATTTAATGTAATTTATACACCATGTTCAATATAATAAGCAGCCCAGATGTTTAGCAGTTTGGGGAAGAGTTCTGATGTTTGCAGGACATTATGAATAATACTATAGACTCTTTTTCAGAATAAGTCAGTTGTAAATTACATCGAAAATAGCTCAGACCAGGAAAATTATTGGGGTGGGGGAGCTAATTGGATCAAAACTTTGATGATAAATATATATGGCATGCTTAAGGGTTTATGTAACCTTGCTGTGACATGGAGATCTAAGATATGTGCTACCTTACTGTGACATGGAGACCTAAGATATGTGCTACCTTATTGTGACATGGAGACCTAAGATATGTGCTACCTTACTGTGACATGGAGGCTTAACGATGTATGCTACCTTATTGTGACATGGAGACCAAAGATATGTGCTACCTTACTGTGACATGGAGAATGGAGACCTAAGATATGTGCTACCTTACTGTGACATGGTGACCTAAGATATGTGCTACCTTACTGTGACATGGAGACCTAAGATCTGTGCTACCTTACTGTGACATGGAGACCTAAGATATGTGCTACCTTACTGTGACATGGAGACCTAAGATCTTTGCTACCTTACTGTGATATGGAGACCTAAGATATGTGCTACCTTACTGTGACATGGAGACCTAAGATATGTGCTACCCTACTGTGACATGGAGACCTAAGATATGTGCTACCTTACTGTGACATGGAGACCTAAGATATGTGCTACCTTACTGTGACATGGAGACCTAAGATATGTGCTACCTTACTGTGACATGGAGACCTAAGATATGTGCTACCTTACTGTGACATGGAGACCTAAGATATGTGCTACCTTACTGTGACATGGAGACCTAAGATATGTGCTACCTTACTGTGACATGGAGACCTAAGATATGTGCTACCTTACTGTGACATGGAGACCTAAGATATGTGCTACCTTACTGTGACATGGAGACCTAAGATATGTGCTACCTTACTGTGACATGGAGACCTAAGATATGTGTTACCTTACTGTGACATGGAGACCTAAGATATGTGCTACCTTACTGTGACATGGAGACTTAAGGATGTATGCTACATTACTGTGACATGCTGATTTAAGGATATATGTTACCTTACTGCAACATGGAGACTTAACGATATATGAAACCTTGCTGTGACATGTAGACTTAAGGATGTATGCTACCTTGCTGTGACATGAAGACTTAAGGGTGTATGCTACCTTGCTGTGACATGGAGACTTAAGGATGTATGCTACCTTACTGTGACATGGAGACTTAAGGATGTATGCTACCTTGCTGTGACATGGAGACTTAAGGATGTATGTTACCTTGCTGGGACATGGAGACTTAAGGGTGTATGCTGCCTTGCTGTGACATGCAGACTTAAGGGTGTAGCTACCTTGCTGTGACATGGAGACTTAAGGATGTATGCTACCTTACTGTGACATGGCGACTTAAGGATGTATGTTACCTTGTTGTGACATGGAGACATAAGGATGTATGTTACCTTGCTGTGACATGGAGACTTAAGGATGTATGTTACCTTGCTGTGACATGGAGACATAAGGATGTATGTTACCTTGCTGTGATATGAAGACTTAAGGATGTATGTTACCTTGCTGTGACATGAAGACTTAACGATATATGTAACCTTGCTGTGACATAGAGACTTAAGGATGTATGTTACCTTGCTGTGACATGCAGACTTAACGATATATGAAACCTTGCTGTGACATGCAGACTTAAGGGTGTATGCTACCTTGCTGTGACAAGGAGACTTAAGGATGTATGTAACCTTGCTGTGACATGCAGACTTAAGGGTGTATGCTACCTTACTGTGACATGAAGACTTAAGGATGTATGCTACCTTACTCTGACATGGAGATTTAAGAATGTATGCTACCTTACTGTGACATGGAGTAAAATACAGAGTTCCTTTACTAGAGATCTAGTCAATTAAAGCTCCCTGGTTAGAAAAAAAGTTTGCGTAGAGGTTCTTTAATATTGTTTGTACTATTTATTATTCAGGTAAGCATTACGACCCCTTGGGTTTCTTGTTTGTGCAGACATCATATCAGACATGCAAATTGATTATATATTTGCAAAATGCCATCCCAAGTCCCCTGCTAAGAATAGGCACTTATATTTTATAGACATAATGAAATCAATTTCAGATTTGCATTAATTTTGCCTTAACAGTGAACTTTTGTGTATTTCAGCTTTCCAAGAAGGAAGAAGCAGTGACCAAGTACAAGAAAATACGAAACAGTAAGCCTTTATATTTAATCTTTTAAAACACGTGATGAAGCCTGCAGGAAAAGCATGCCAGAAGAATATATTAACTCTGAATAACATTTATTAAAATCATTGTAGTATCCATTTAAGGATCCCCGTACTAACCAAGTATTGGAAACTGTCTTTTCTGGAAATGCAATACTTTTCATAAACAATTTTTGAAAAGAAAACCATACCTTACAGGAATTTCATGAAAACTAATAAAGATGAAATTAACAAAAATGTTACACAAAAGTATTCAGAGTGTAAAAATTTAGCAGGGCTAAACCGGGATTTGAACACTGGACTTCCTATTGTTATACTATCACTCTAACTGATTGAGCTACCTGGTCTGAGGAAGTGTCCTGGCCGAACTGTGCTACAGTTATATCCAAAAGGAAGTCAAAGAGAGGTTACTGCATATACAAAAAAACACATTGCAGTGAATTATCATTATGCAATTGGTTAGAACTGATATTTTTCAGCCAATTGTCATGCATGTTTAACTTTAAGGTGATAGGTGTAGAGGTTAGGCAGTTGAATATAGTGTTATGGTTTACAATGGGTAACGGTAATACCTGGTTCACCCGTTGTCAGTATAATGTGACTGGGTGGAATGCTGTGCTCCGTGCCTTCGGCATGGTATTTCAGTGAGATAGCACTATAAAGACGGCATCAGCTCTGCGCTATCTCAAGGAGGCAAGTACACCAACATACCCTATCTCCGGCACATGTACACACATGCACACATACACAACACACATGGAGACATGTCATTAAATGACCTAGGCTGTTGATAGGACGTTAAATAATATAAAACCTAAACCTTTACAATGGAACTACACATTTCACATTTGATGGGCACCCATCCTTAAATCGTAAGGAATTTTCAAATTAGATATAGTCAATTTGTGTGAGACTTCAGATGTTAGTTATGTAGGTCTGTATAAGCCCACCCATGAGGGCAAAGAATCTTTTCTCGTCTGATGGTTAAAATATATCAAATTTCAAAAGAAATATTAATGGATTGAAAATCAACTGGAATTTTACCAGAAAGAGCAGAAACTTGTGGAGACACTAATGTAATTTTCTATAATATGATTATGTAGTATTTGTATTTACAATGATGGGGCTAGATCATTGATGTAGTGTATATTTAAGGAGGAGTGTTATGAGTTGTACGGTTATGCTTATGTGTTTAGGTGTTGATACTGCCCCGATATCTTATCTGTACAATTATCCACCTTTTCACCCCGGGGACTGATACATACTATCAAATGTACCCACAGACATTCAATCAAAACATTTCACGGAAGTTTATTGAAACTTAATGCCCCAAAAAATTAATCCTGTTTAGAGATAGACTTGCAACTTGCTTTAGAAATGGGACTGGGTAATTATGTGTGATCTAGCTGTGTGTCCTTGGAAAGGGAACTGCTTGTGAGCAAGTACACCCACCCTAGACTTCCAGACCAGGAGCATGCAGTGCTTCCTGTGTATATTACATAACACAGACCCACAACAGCTCTGGAATGGCAGTCGGTAGACCCCCTCCCCCGACATTTACATAATTATGTTTATGTACACGAGTTTTTTGTCTTTCCTCTACAACCATATCATGTGTTTTGTTCATAGCTGATGAAAAGCCCTGCCAGGTTTTGAATTGAATTATTAAACATTGTGTTTGATGATTTGTTTTTATTACTCCAGATTTAAACCACTTTCCCTTTTATTTATTATGTCCTTCCTAGAATTAATCTTTATTTATGGAAAGGTGTATGGGGGGAGGGGGGTCTTCTTTTAGCCTAGCTTTATCTTTTAAGATTTACATCCGGGGGAAAAAGGATAGTTATGTAGAAGACATTAAGTTTTAATTTTCAAAAATATGTTTTTACATTGTATCTATATGTCTTAGAGATGTCTCACAAATCCTGTCTTAACCTGTACTTCTTTAAAAATGGGCATACAATCTGTAAGGTCAGCAGTGCAAATTAGTGTGGGTAGGGTAAGTACACCTGTAATTGTACCAGGGGCGACTTCTGGGCTGAGTGTTCATTCCTACTGTGTGACATTTAGAGTTAAACTGTACATGTGTAGGTGGTTCTAACATCTATATGTCAGGCTGTCAATCCAAGTACATCTATTGAATGTTCCAGTTGAGAAAGGGCAAAGAGAAGCGGGGGAAATAAAATTCAAGGTCACAACTTCATTTAGAAATAGACTTGACAATTTGGAGGATAAATTTGAGTTTGGAGGTAGTAACTAGAAAAAGCATGTTACTCAGTCCTTAACACTCCTTTCACACTTAAATTGTGTGGGTAATATATATTATCTTACTTTATATGAACAAAGAGTGTTTTCTAGCATTATTTTTATTTAATTTAGTTAGTGTCCATGAAATGTTTCTATTTCAAAGCAGTATGGGCTGTAGTTATTAGATTATTTCAATATTGACATTTAGGAAAGCCTGTCATATTGTTGGTATTGAAGCCATTATTTTTTTGGCTGAATCAAATACATAATTATATATTGAAAAAAGAACTGTCAAAACCTGAAATGTGTGGCCCCTTAAAAATGACTTCACACAAAAAATTGGCAATTTGTAGCGTTTATTTATTCTAAAATTCTGAAATTTTTACTTTTAGATTGAAGTAGACTCCATAAGAGATACTGAAGATTATATATTTCATTTCATTTCATCATATTTTATTGAGTAAACAATAGGATTGAACAGCAGGCTAGGCCTATATAAGTTCTCCTTATATATGTCATCATTACAACATAATATTTAGTATTCATTGGTAATATACCCATGATTGAAAATTAATTAAATAATAAAAGAGAAAATTTGTTATCAATATTTACCAATGCTTAAAATCTGGTTAATTGGTGAAGTTCAAAATATCTGGAAAACTTGAGGAATCATGCAGCAGATGGTTTTCATATCTGAAAACTACAATTCTTCTTTTAAACTAGTTGATTTAGGGGTAATTTACAACTTTAATAAGATAGGCTTTTATTGCCATTTAATGACTGTGCTCAGTATTTAATTAATAGAAAATAAGGATACATATGTGTACTCATTCAAAACTTCCAGATATTTCTAACGAACACATTTATTTTAAGATTTTCTCTATTTCCACAAAGAACTTAAATTTCCAAAATTTACCTTAAAAAGACACCCAGATAATATTTGATAATCCAGCAGTTATGTGTGACTGATATGAGAGTCAAGCCGATTCTGATCATTAATATTCAATTTAATTTGATATCACATCTCAAAATATATCATTCATTTTGGCAATAAGAAAGTACCATTTCCTGGTGTCCTGGGTTCCCTTACCAGTGATGGTCACAACCCTACCAGCTGTACTAACTGGGATAGGAATGACATCAGGAGTTATCAGATCTAGACATAGAACTATGGGCAGACCAGGAGCGCTCGACCATAGGGACAGCAAGCATGTGTAAAAGTACACCCTGTATTATTATAGTCTAGTGTAATGACAGTACATATGGTCCTCGTTACTGGTGCATAAAACACCACTGCATCAGGGACAGAGGGGGGGGGGCTCTCTTCTCGGGATGACAATGTGCACAGGCTGGATTTATCATATAATTTTGCTGTAACGGTTTCATTATGACAGGTCTACTGCTACCTCAAGCATTGATTGCTGGTAAACAAGACATTTTAGGATGATGGTCTCACTTTAGCAGGTGTAACTCTATACCTTAAATTGATTACTAGTAAACAGGAAAATTGAGGATAATGGCTCCAGCTATGTATGTGTACTTTCATGCTTTCTATTGATTACATGTATAGTGTCACCAAGTGTATTTTGATTCTGCCCATTATAAGTCACTTCCCACATTCGTTCATTAGGGGTACTTGCCTGCTAACAGTTAATGGTAAAGAATAAAAAGATAAGGTAATGGCTGATTAGATAATTTCATAATTAGCTCATTCTGTAGAAGAAATGGAAATTATCATTTAGCTTATTGTGACTTCCATTACTATTTACATGAAGATAATTTAGAAATAAGCGTTCTATATAATCAATTGGGATAGGATGGACTATTATTAAAGATTTGAATTGATTTGGATGTATTTAAACTGTGAAGAGACAGTTACTGTGATATGACCTATGTCATATTGATATGAACGTTTTACATGTATATGTGCAGTTCAAATAAAGTCTGCTGGATACCGTTAGTGATGTAATGGAGTATGAATAATCCAGTCAGACAATTAAACTGCTAACATATTTGTTTTCGTGTTAAAATGGGATTGTGTGGTCATTGCTACCATCATGGCTAGGGAAATGACTCATTAGGATCCTTTTGCATGTGAGTCATGTACAATGTATAGGCTCATGGAAAAAAAGAGTGAAAAAAATTGTCTTTATAATTTGTTATTGCACATGGGGTATAATATTTCAGGATGTAGAAATATTTCGCACTGTGTGTATAACAGTTTTATGACCGTGTGTCTAGCACGAGAGATGAAAACATAAGATGGAAGTGTTTTGTATATGTGTAGCTAGGGCGTAATCGATCAGACACTAATTAATTTCTATCTACAGAAGAATGGTAGCAATATGTTCAGAATTTCATATTACCAACATCTTGATAGACATTCATCCCTTGATGAAATAATCAGTCAGCATGCACCATCAATGCACATTTTATATTGCTGGTTTTATTTTCCATGAACAGCTTCTGGTTTTCAGAGAATTTGTTTTATGACCCTCTCAAGATATGTGTATAAGATATACATGTTTCTATCACTAGGTAACTGACAGATATATTATTGACCATTTGATAATGTTGGCTAAAAGCGTCGGTAACATGCTGTGATATATGAATTATGTACTGGATTCAGTAGGTAATGAACGGTTAGTAATGAGTGTCATTTTCGTTTACAAAGAACAATTATGTCGGCTTAATGTTTTTCCAAATATATGTGTCATCCAGTTAGTAATTAACCTTATCTCTGAGCATGAGGAGCACATAAACTTGTAGGAATAAACATGTGTGGTCTCGGATTCAAAAATAGAAATGGTCCATGCTGATCCCAAGTACTTGGCAAGGCTGCAGAAAACGTCGCAATTACTGATAAAATCCATTTTATAGTATACCGATTTGAAGTGCTTGCATATACTTGGCACTGAGTGGAAAAGACATTTAGATTTTTTTAAACAGAAAGTATGCAATCTTGATAAATGTCTCATTTATTTGTCATCTCACTTTATGTATTTGAAGGTCCCGTTTTTGTTTTTTCTCCTGAATACCTTGACATGCTTCTGTCTCCTGAACAACACCATTTTAATGATAAAATACCACCTGGCAGTTACTGCATTCTTCAAAACTAGAAAAACTTTCAGGTACCAAGTAATTAGTCTGGTGAACGTGTATAAACAGACTAATTTGCAAATGTTCTTCTAAATTGAAAAACTTCATAATCAGTTTCATAACCTGTTTTGTTTAGAAATAAATTGATCAAATTTTAAAAAGAACGGTAAATTAAATATTTGTTTATAAAAAAAAAAGCAGTATTTGATGTCCTAAATTACCAGAGGAAAGAACCTCTTAAACATTTTGAGCAGAAAAAACTTAGCCTACCTGCAAAGCATTTAAAATACCATTATACAAGTGGCATTTGTAGGGAAGGTGTGTCTGTGTTACACAATTAATGCAGTGAGAACGAGGAGAATTGGCACCGTCCCAGTCTATCTTGGCACTGCCTCTGCACACTTGTTTCTTCTCCCAGCCTCCTGGTATTTGACCTGAAGGAAGAAAGTACATGTGGAAGCGTTGTAATACATTTGTATAAAAAGAACTAGACTAATTGGATTGGCACAATAGTATTTCTCCACCTATGATAACTTCAACACAAATATATAATAAGCTGATTGACTATTACATTGTTGATCCACAGGGAAACCGACTAATTGTAAGCTGCTCTTCCTGTAGGAAGGATTATGTTTATCTTATTTCCTTGATGTTATAAAGGTGGGAAAAGACATTTCATAGAGAGGGTTTTGTATATTGAAAGAAACACATACAAGAATTTTGAAGAAAAAAAAGAAAAAAATGTGACCATGAAAATATGTATAGCACCNCCTTAAAAAAATTTTTTTTTTTTTTTTTTTTTTTTTTAAATGGGACCATGAAATACATATAGCAAGGTGCAGGATATTTGAACATAACATATACATGGGATGCTTAACACATTATAGTTTTCTGAACAACATGAAGGAAAAAGTGTAAAAAGTGCATTATGTTACTGCAAGTAAATAGAAAACCCCTAAACCATACAACAAATTATATCTCTTTTCATTACATTATGTTTTATCTTTTTCTTTTGCAGATGTACACGATGACATAAAGCCAATATGCCCATATGAGACCCATCCATGTAACTGCAAGCCTCCGGAAGAGGATGTGGTCCAGGGTTGTGGGGACGACTGCCTCAACAGACTCATCTATACCGAGTGCAACCCCCTTGCCTGTCCTTGTGGGGAACGATGTTCAAATCAGAAGATCCAGAAGCATGAATGGTCACCAAGCCTTAAGAAGATTACTACAGAGGATAGGGGATGTGGGGTGAAGTCTCTGGAACCGATACATACAGGTAGGTCCTGAAAACCATGCATGATATATCGTATCGTATTGTTTGTATTGTATCGCGATACTTCAACAGTACATAAATTATCATTTGACTTTTAACAAAGTCTAAAAAAGTGTACTTAAATCATTTTAATCCCCCAGTAAATATGTGGTCCACTGTGTGCAGTCATACCCAAAATTGCTAGAAATTATACGAAAACATATTTCAGTAGTATTACTATTGAAGTATATGACAAAACTCGTAAAATTATGCACACAGTCATTATAAAGATGACCTTTTAAGCAGATAATTGTATCATTATATGCATCGTATCGTGATATGCATCGTATTGCCAGCATCGTACTCCGATATGTGCTGTATCATGAGGTATGCATATCATTGCAGCTCAAATGAAAACTCTCCGAGTTGATGAAGCTATTCAGACTAAACAAAAATCAACAATTGTCAATTCAATTGCTAATAAAATAAAATTACGTATGGTGTAGCAAGAAAACTTAAATTTAGAGTGCTCAGATTCTAATGAGACAGTACTAGTCAAACCTGTTTATAGCACATAAATGTGCATTCTGTAGGCAGGAGCCATATGTTGTCCGATACAGTGGTTCCTATACTATAAAACAAGAACATATAGAAACCAGAAGTGCTGGCCTTTAAGTGCAGGTTGGTTCGAGATTGATAAGTAATTTCACAGTTGAAAACTTTCTGGTTTCCTTTGCAGGTCAGTTTATCCTGGAGTACCTTGGAGAGGTAGTGAGCGAGCAGGAGTTCCGACGCCGCATGACGGAGAACTACTCCCAGGAACGTCACCACTACTGTCTCAACCTGGACAGTGGGGCACTCATAGACGGTTACAGGATGGGTAACATTGGACGCTTTGTCAACCACTCATGTGAACCCAACTGTGAGATGCAGAAATGGTATGTATCAGCAGTGGATCTATAATAAAAAATCACTATTAAAATGGATAGTATTTCAGTTTTAGAAATTTTGATTACTGAAAATACGAAATCAGTCCTTTCAATGTATCCACTGAGGAATGCAGTGAATTTAACTTGTGGAACAAACAATCATATATAAGTGACTTCAAATTAAACAGGTTAATTTTCATTACATGGGGAAGTACAATGGCCATAATCCAGTTACAATTTTCTGGGAGCAACTATTGTAAAGGGTCATTAATCCTGTGTCCATTGTAAACCTGTTCCCTCTACAAGTTAAGGGGAGATAATCAAATTATAATATCCTGTTTCTAATAAAAATCAATTAAAACAGAAATATATTGGATAATAAATTAATTTTACAGATAGCAATCTATTTTGAATTAAAAGCTCCAAAAAATAATATATCTCTTAATGTCCTTTATGGATCAAATGGTTATAATACAAAGTTAAAAGGTAGTGCAAGTTTTATTACATGCCTGGCTTTATTACATTCCAATCAGAGCAGTCATTATGGCCCAGGATGGGTTTGAGTTAATGGCCATATGTTGTGGTATTTGTTTATGGTAGTAAGCTCAAATTAAACTTCAAAAAATGCATTCATTTGTTATTATGCAGGGGAAAAAATGAAAAATGGGATCAGTTTGTAGGCATGCATGATTTGACTTTTATTGGATATGTTTGATATATGGGTTTACTTAACATATGAATGATGTTTGTTGTTACAGGAATGTGAACGGGTACTACAGAATGGCCCTGTTTGCTCTCAAAGATATACAAGCAGGGAGAGAACTGAGCTATGACTACAACTTCCACTCCTTCAACATGGATAGCCAGGTCAGTATATAAGGAGTTCACACATTCTAGGAATGCAATGAAACCTTGGTGCTATTTAGCTACCATGTTCGGAGCTCAGTTTATTGGTGTATTTAATAGATTTATTTTATTCAATCTTTTTCTAACATTTTAAAACCAAAATGTGGGTAGGAGGTTCCACTTTAAACAGATACAAGGTTCCACTGTACAAGATGTACACTGAAGTAAAATGTTTCAGAATGATTTAATAAAACGTGTTTATAAAAAAACATAATGATTGTATGTACAAGAATCTTCTGTACAAAGCAAAACCAAAAATCTTCTGTACAAAGCAAAACCAAAATGTTCAGATTAACAATGATTAAAGATTAAAAGTTACTGAAGTTCCTGAAGTTCCTGACCTATGTTCCTCTTATATGCAAATATAAGAATATCAAGACAAGCAAAAAATTGTATATGGAACTTTAGTGCAAACAGCCTGTCTTGGCCTCATTATATAAATATTCATGAAATGGATTGTTTCAAAAGTCCAACGTTCACTGAAATATGGTTGATTTCCATATATATTTCTTATAACTGCTGGATAATCAATATATATTGTAATTTTGTTCATTAATAGCAAATCTGTAAGTGTGGAAGTGAGAAGTGTCGAGGAGTCATTGGGGGTAAGACTCAGAGACTGAATGGTCAGAGCAAGGAAAAGGCAACTCCTCAGAGACCTGTTGGCCGCCCTCCCAAGGACAAACGCAAGTCTAAAAATAGACTCAAGAAATTTAGAGAAAAAGTAAGACCTGTTTTATATAGAACACATAAAATAAAGAAACTTATGATTGCAGTTCTTCATTGTGTGGATTTGGCAAGTCACCTCATAGCATGGGATTCTCTACTTGACAGATATTTATTTTAATGATGACTTTTGAATATTTCATATGAATTAAAAATGTTTTTCAATGTTTTTACAGTGATTTTTTTGTTGTTAATTCATTTGATGTGCTATTTAGATAAAGGATAGTAGATCATACCTGTCGGTGCTGAGGTACATGAATTGATTTGAAATAAAGTAATTTGTGTCATTCATATTTGACTGCTATGTAATTTGTAATGAGGTGCCATCAGTTTTTCAGGAGCTTGGTAAATATAAAAGCTGAACAATAGATGTATTTATTGCAGCAACGACTGGCACAGGAGCAGAGTGCTACTATCTTCCCAACCATTAAGCCAATGTCCCACACAGAAAGATGTAAGGCTCGGAAACACAGTATTTTTCTGGTCAGGAATATTGACCGGGTACGACAGCTCCGCAGTAGGGTCTCCAGCTCCCTCACCAAGGATGGAGATTTTGCAAAGTCTGGGAGCTTCAGCAAAACTGGTAGGCATGCGTTTATGTATACAACTGTACTCTGCGGTTTAAAAGAGGCTGGCGCTCAGGATGATGTAAGAGGTGTCTTAAGGGCTGGCACTCATGGTGATGTAAGAGGTGTCTTAAGGGCTGGCACTCATGGTAATGTAAGAGGTGTCTAAAGGCCTGGCGCTCATGGTGATGTCAGAGGTGTCTTAAGGGCTGGCACTCATGGTAATGTAAGAGGTGTCTAAAGGACTGGCGCTCCCCCCGATGTAAGAGGTGTCTTAAGCACTGGTGCTAAGGGTAATGTAAGAGGTGTCTAAATCACTGGCGCTCTTGGTGATGTAAGAGGTGTCTAAGGGGCTGGCGCTCAGGGTGATGTCAGAGTTGTCTTAAGGGCTTGCACTCAGGATGATGTAAGAGGAGTCTTAAGGGCTGGCACTCATGGTAATGTAAGAGGTGTCTAAATCACTGGCGCTCTTGGTGATGTAAGAGGTGTGTTAAGGACTGGCGCTCAGGGAGATGTAAGAAGTGTCTTAAGGACTGGCACTCAGGGGGATGTAAGGGGTGTCTTAAGGACTGGTGCTCAAGGTGATGTAAGAGGTGTCTAAATCACTGGCGCTCTTGGTGATGTAAGAGGTGTCTTAAGGACTGGCGCTCAGGGTGATGTAAGAGTTGTCTTAAGGGCTGGCACTCAGGATGATGTAAGAGGTGTCTTAAGGACTGGCGCTCAGGGTGATGTAAGAGGTGTCTTAAGGACTGGTGCACAGGGTGATGTAAGAGGTGTCTTAAGGACTGGCGCTCAGGGTGATGTAAGAGGTGTCTTAAGGGCTGGCACTCAGGGTGATGTAAGAGGTGTCATGCTGGCACTCAGGGTGATGTAAGAGGTGTCTTAAGGACTCGCACTCAAGGTGATGTAAGAGGTGTCTTAAGGACTTGCACTCATGGTGATGTAAGAGGAGTCTTAAGGGCTGGCGCTCAGGGAGATGTAAGAGGTGGCTTAAGGGCTGGCGCTCAGGGAGATGTAAGAGGTGTCTTAAGGGCTGGCGCTCAGGGCGATGTAAGAGGTGTCTTAAGGGCTGGCACTCAGGGTGATGGAAGAGGTGTCTTAAGGACTGGCGCTCAGGGGGATGTAAGAGGGGTCTTAAGGACTGGCGCTCAGGGCGATGTAAGAGGGGTCTTAAGGACTGGCACTCAGGGGGATGTAAGAGGTGTCTTAAGGGCTGGCACTCAGGGTGATGTAAGAGGGTTCTTGCTGGCACTCAGGGTGATGTAAGAGGTGTCTTAAGGACTGGTGCTTAGGGTGATGTAAGGGGTGTCTTAAGACAAGTGGCTTAGATCTCAAGATTGCTAAATTAAAGAGAACATTTTAACTCTGCAAAGCAATATTTGTAAACCAGAGCCAGTTCATAATCATAACTTATCCTAGGTATGAATGGCAGAAGATATTTCAAAGAAACTTTGTTTCCATACGTACCACCACAAGTCCCACTACTTTCATTACTCCCACAAGATCAATGTGCTAACTGTATGTTGGTGATTCAATAACTTTCTGTGGTATAATATGTGTCAGGGGCCCACCCATAACTGATCAGCTGATGAACTAATATGAAACTTCATCACTGCACAGTTGTTTGTACCCCTTTTAAGAACTCCATCTAAAATTTGAGATCTTGTTTTGTTTTGCATTGTTTATGTGTTATATATCAATTTGACATCTACAAAGACCTTGTCATCTCAACATTATTTTTGTCTCTTTTATAGACGTGTTCATCACCCAGCTGACTGCACTGAAAACATCACGGTCTGTAAGGACAAGGTAAGTAGTAGATAAGGGCATAGATAGAAAGGATATCGTCTTTTGTCCTGAACTACTATAAATGTACCTCTTTAAGGAGTGTTCTTATTTTAATACTTCTGCTTCAGTTTAGGGCTATCTTGTTGAATGTGATTAACTGACATTTTTTATGCATTTTTTTAATTTTATTTATAGTGGGTTTTTTGAGAAACATTTACAGATATTTTGTGTTTGAATATTCCCACTTCGACTGAAGTCAGGGGTATATTGTAAAAATGGATTGGTCATGCAATTTGTTCTTATTTTCCCCCTGACATTTTCAGACGTCTTGCCCTGGCAGAGGAGAATAGTGAACTGACCCAAACAGCAAGGCTGGCTCAAGTGTTTAACACCATCAGAAAAGCTGTTGTTAATTACAGAGGTAAAGTTTTGATAACGTAAAGTGTAGAAAATAAGTTATATTTTACAGATTTTCGAATTAAAAAATTCTATTTTATTATTTACTTGTAACATGTCCGTTCATACAAGTGTCAACCTTGTGGGCATGATAGTTCAAAAGCTGTTTAATAAAGCACACATGGCACCAGCGGAATCTCCCACTGCACACTTTGTTGCTTTACCCTGCTCCTTCTGTTCGATAAATGTCACAGTTTCCTCCAGTGCCCTGTCTGTCTTTGGGTCGCCTAGCAAGTCAGATAGAACTTCTGGCTCAGCAATGCCCAGCACAATATTGTCCTTTATGATCTCATCACTAAAGTCAAACACATGAGTACAATGTAGCACTTTGCATGTGGTTCTATACTGGCAGAGTGCAGAGTGGCTGCGGAGACCTGCCAAAAATGTCCGAATATCAATGCCAGGAGATTGTGTCATTCTGCTCAGCTTGATGCGGTGAACGAGAGTACTTAAACTTTAACAGCCAGTCTCTTAATAGCAGCCAGAAGATCAGCCTCGGCCACATTAACTACATCGCACTGAAGGTCACGTAGAACATCTGTCCGTAGATCAGTGTCACAACAGTAGAATAGCGCAGTGGGAAGAACAGCGTCAGTGATGACCATTCCAACCTTATACATATTTCACTGCCTGGTAAAAGCTGACCATTGGTCTGGGTCACATCCAGCAGAAACAATTGCTGCGTCCAACTTAAGCTTTGGTGGTGTTAGATTGGCTGGGGTGCTATGGACAGTCCTGTCACGAATTTGAAGAGCAGCAGTGAGGGCAGCTTCAAATTCTGCTGCCAGGTCTTGAGACGTCCATATGCAGCCTGCGACAGGGCACTGTAACACTGGCATGATTTGATCCTAAGATGTGGCAAAAAATGAGTGATGACAAGGCGATGACCCTGATCAATGACTGACTGAGTGTCGGGGATGCATACATGGTGGTAGCAGTCATAAATGAGAATTAACATCTTCCTCCTGTTAAATTCTTTAATCTAAATGATGACTGCTACCTGCAACATACAAACATAATATAATCATTAGTTAATTTCAATCTTAAAATAGTTAAATTCATAGGTTTGTCATAATGTAGACTTGAATGTTCAAAGAGAAATAATAATGGTTTCTTGGTTAATTACAGATGAAGATGCAAAAGAGCTGTCCGCCCATCTCAGTCTGCCATCCAAAAAGAAACATCCAGAATACTTCAATGTCATTGAGAATCCTATAGACTTCAATATGATTGAGCGCAACATTGGCAGTGGACAGTACAACTCCCTGGAAGCCTTTGATAAAGACATGACCAGGCTCTTCAAAAATGCTGAGGTAATAGAAATGGAATGTTAAAGGAACAAAACCGAATTTAGCCTTAAATTTGTAGGTAAAATGTTATATTTAAAGGTTTGACCAGAAAATTAGGGGGAGGGGAAGATGCTATTTTTTGCTGTGGCTTGGGAAAAATATTAGAACACTGAATATATAGGAAATCTAGAAAATGTTATCTTGGATTCATTGAAATGCAACTTTTGCAAAAAATATTGGAAATCTTAATTTCTTTTGCATTGGTTAATTAAAATATTGAAAAATAAGTGCTTTTGCTTTTTTACCCTCAGTATATAGGAGGCAAGGTAGTCCAGTTGTAGGATGCCGGGCTCGTGACCGAAAGGTTGCGGGTTCAAGCCATGACATGGCACTGTGTTGTATCTTTGAGCAAGATACTTTACTCAACTTGTTCCAGTCTACTCAGCTGTAAATGAGTACATGGTTGGGCAGTGCTAGAATTGTTGAATGCTAGCTGTTAGCGCCGAAATGGCAGCTCCAGCTGTATGCTCCCCAGGGAGTTGAGAAAGATATTTGCTGGTTGCAAAGGCCCTATAACCACGGATAATAATTTGTGAACCGCTTTGAGACGAAGTACGAACTAGGTTGTGATAAAGCGGTATATAAAAACCTTGAATAATAATTATCATTATATAAATGTTGTACAGGTAATTTCAAATACTTCTGTTGAGTTAAACACAACAATTTATCTTATCAAAACAACAAAATATTTAATAGGATTTAAAAATACTACAAAACATATTTTGGAAACAAACTGCATAATTATGTAAGTCTATCTCCTGAGTATAAATTTCAAGTTTTTTGGCCTGCTGTAATGTATACCCATATCTTGTTTCAGAGGTACTGTGGACGGTCGTCTTGGATGGGTCTCCTGGTGCTGAAGTTGAGGAAGGTATACCTGACTGCCAAGGCAGAGGCCTTGCCCCTGCTGGAGGACGTGTTGGGAGAGGGCAACGTCCAGTCGTTAACAGAGAACGAGACCACTGAGGGCACAGACAACATTGGTATGTAACTTTCTTTATGTTGTCAATTAACATAATATGTCAATGTAGATATTCTCGTATTAATCATGGAATCATTGACACCACTGTTGGAGAATCTGTGAGATTTATTCTTTGGTTGATGCCTTCCAGACCTATTCATATGTAATATGTTGAAGTAGAGCTAATATTCTCCAATTAATTGTGGAATTAAACTTCAATTCTGTTTGGTTGATGCCTTCCAGACATATTAATGTATAAAATAATGTTAGGAATAGAATATATAATATAATTGATATAATATCAATACAATTGATGCATATAATAATGTTAGGAATAGAAAGCTAACTATATACTTAATGTTTTCAGATTCCATGGAAGAGGAGGAAGAAGAAGAGGTAATCAGATGTATCTGTGGAATTTACAGAGACGAAGGACTCATGATCCAGTGTGAAAAATGTTTCGTAAGTAGGAGAATGTCTTGAGATGGTCTTTGGAATGCAAAACTTGTTAGCTGCTTCAGCTACTTTTAGTAGCAGTGAATTGTTTTGAATTTAACATCAACATTGCTTAATTAATACTTTACAATATAATGCCAGATGATAGTATGTGTATGAGAATTTTATTTCATTCATTCCAGATCTGGCAACACTGTGACTGCATGAAGGTGGCAGGGGATGTAGAGAACTACCTGTGTGAGCTTTGTAATTCCAGGCCTGTCGAAAAGGTTCGTACTGTTATGATTCAGGCATCCAGTCCTGTTGTGTATGAAGGTACAGGTTTGACATTAGACCTGCGAAAAATTTGAGTGGCCCAATAAAGAAAATTTAAAACAATTGTAAACACATTTTTAAACAGAAATTTAAGTAAACTTGTGGTTTAAACTATAATTTCTATAATAGTAGTAAAAAGTCAAGAAAGAATAATTTCAATTAATGTTTAAAATACAATTTTAACAGTTGGTCTTCAATGCTTTACATGCTAGGACTAGTATAAAGGATGGTGTACTCATATTTCTTGATTATCTACAGGAGATCCTGGCTGACCCCCAGCCAGACGATGCTACTCCAGGTTGGGTGTACTATATGACACTGATGAGAGACGAGCTACAGATTCGTGTGGGTGATTGTGCCTACGTGTTACGGGACGTACCAGAAAAAGTCGGAGTGGAGATTGACTCTGTGAAAACCTCTCAGAAACTTGTGACAGAAATCGGCAAGGACAAGTTAGATATATTTCGCATTGAAAGGCTGTGGAAAGATGAAAAGTAAGAAAGCAGGCATTATACTTCATGGCTACGTACTCTCCATAGCTTAAATAGAAGTTCCTCATTTAGTCAATGAAGGAGGAGGGTTGGTTGTCTTATTTATTTTACTGGTCTAACTTTATTTTCGAAAATTATAAAAAACATAAAGTTTCCTCATTTATTATGCAGTGGTTATTGAAAATTTTATTTTAACGAGGAATGTTATTGAAGTTCAGAATATTTAATGGCAAACATTTGAAAACTTTAAGTCATTTGTATTTGAAGCTTAATGAAAGTGACATGGTTACTTTGATACATGTGCATAGTTCATGACTCAAAAAGATTTCTCAACTTTTAAGAAAAAATGTTTATTGTAAATATCTTAAAATTTTAGCATAAAAGATGTTTATATTTAGACTTCAAAAATGCATGACCAGAAACAAGCTCTCAAACTTAGCAGACCATATATATTTCTGTAATGATCTGACGGAGATTTATTTTACATGTAGCAATCAAAGTGCATTTGGCAGTCTGAATTTCATTCCCACGTTGATATATGTGTTGTGATCACTCATACAAATCTCAGTATCAAATGCACCTCAAGAGTATGAATGCTAATGATTTTAAACATGTGTTTCTTAATATTACAGGGGTGACAAGTTCGCGTTTGGCCACCATTACTACCACCCATATGAGACATTCCATGAACCATCGAGGAAGTTTTTCGCTAATGAGGTCTTCCGCGTACCCATCTACGAGATTGTTGCTTTTGGCAGCATAGTAGGAGGGTGCTGTGTGGTAGACCTAAACACCTTTTGTAAAGGTCGGCCCAAGGGCGTGCGTGACCAGGACATCTACATCTGTGAATACAGGCTCGACAAAACAGCTCATCTCTTTTACAAGATATCCAAGCACCCGTAAGTTGTTGTTAGAGACACAAGGATGTGTATAGAAAGCATCAATGATTATTAATATTGGTATTATGGCTTTTAGACAGTGATCACAAAGGATGTAACCAAGGCATTATGTTTGGTGGTATAGCCTCAATCATATCTACATAACTGAAGTCGGCGAAATAACTGGTACTGACATTCATAAAACTGTATTTGTTATCATAGTTTTATAATTGTATATTTACTCGTGCCTAAATGAGTTATCACCTCAAAGTTCATAGCAATTTAATTCACCATTGAGATCAGGGGGCACAATTTCGTTTTTTCAAACTTATTAATGTATGATTGGTTCAATAAGCCATTATCAACTCCGCCCAGATCTACTGTTGATGATGTCACATAGTTGTGTCTTATTTATGGAAAATTTTACATAGAGACGCCCACTTGTATTGTTGTCAATGTCATAGAAACTTATCATGTTCTATGGTCAAGTTATGAGATGATAACTCCATTTTGCATGAATGGTGGTTATTGAATGAATGTGTAGGCTGTAAATAATATCATATAATGATACTCTGTCATTTATGTGAGATGAAGTTGAAATTGCGGCACATTGAAGTGAGTTGTTGGTAAAAGTATCCATCATTCTGCCATAAGTCTGAGTTGAAGAGGAGGTTAAAAGATAACTCTGTATTAACAATGTGATTTATGTTCCAGATATCCTATTAACACCAAGTCTTACTGCTTTGATAAGTATGAGACACGACTGATACCAAAGAGGAACTATTCGGTAAGTATCTTTAAAAAATAATACATCATATCATGGTTAACACAAAAACTAATGACACATTTATCAGACTGACTGCACTATAATCACAAAACCAAAATTTTAGGATTTGTTGTTAGAGTATTGGTGAGAGGAACCTTTTTGGAGGCTCCACCCCCCATCAAATATTTAAGTGGATTTAATATATAGAATGGTAGGACGACCTGGACTTCACCCTTCCACCTATAATATATGAATTACAGGTCTAGTAGTATGACATGTTTATTTGAGATACCATCCCCATCCTCAACACAATCAATTACAGAATAGCCCATATATCATTTAAAACACTTAAAATTGAAAACAGATATTTTCATTTCAGCACAGTCATTTTATTAATGTTTTAATTATATTACCTTGTGTTGGGTTATTTTTTCGTTTATTTTTTTAACTTCTCTATAGCTTAAGGTTAACCTTGTCCTCAATTACTTACCAGTATTGCCATAGAAACCTTTGACTGAAACTCTATCTAAACATTTTTAATTTGTAGCCACATGAGGTTCCCCAGGCCTACAAGAGGCGTGGCCCTGGCGAGGGTAAGAGCCTAGAGGCTAATGGCTCCACCTCGGAGGCACCAAAGAAACGACAGCGAGCCAGGCGTCCAGGCTTGCAATCCAAAGATGAAGCTGACGAGGAGAAACTATTGATCCGAATTCAGTCACAAAAGGTAGAGATCAAAGATGTATGTAACGGTTTTTTATTTTTCACTAACACTGGATTATAGACTAACAATATCTGGACACGTTGTGATCTGTCTGGCCTTGTTTGCATGGTTACCTGAAGGTATATTGCATACACAGACACTGCTAATCACTCTTAGAAATTATTTCATTGAGGAATAGATACCAACAGTTGTGGAAATTGTATTGACTATTGTATTGCCAAATGGGTGGGAAAGCCGCAATTTGAGAATCCAAAAACTCTTCTGCTAGTATAAATCTAAACATGTTTTTTAAAAATGATAATCCATTGGAAAAGTAAAGCATAGCATTGTGGCAAATTCAAATCGGAGTTAGTCAAACTATTAAAAAGATTTTAATCTGTAAATGATAAACATTTAACAAGTGAAAAGAAACCCTGAGTGATTAGCAGTAGCAACACTGTTACAGAACAGACATTGAACACAGTAGAAATAAAACCTGTTCTACTGGCATACCACAAGTCAATTACTAGAACAATTTATTTTTGAAAATAAGTGAAAATTTAACACAATCAAATTGAAGATCAACATTAATTCAACAATTATATATGTAACGGAAGTCAAAAAAGTTTTTCATCATCATCCTAAAAAACAACTTCAGACTTACAACTGTAGAATAAAGAACACAAGATATTTAACAAGAAAATAAAAACAACATTTGGTTTTGTTGGTCACTTTTCAGTTGACTATTATATAATAAGGTATTTTTCATTCTTCAGAAAAAAGAACAGAAGGAGAGATTGAACAAGGTTATGTTAAAGCTCCTGTCTGCCGTTCCAGTCAAACAACGGCTGGATTTGTCATACCTCCTGGAGGAGAAACGACATCGCAAGAAACCACAGATGCATGATGTATGAGTGGGTGTGCCTTGTGTGATCGCTCATCCATGTCACATCTGAATATTTCATCAATTTGCGAAGTTTATGTCATGTCAAGATCTACAGTTGACATGACATTGAAGAATTAAGAAAGAAACTGGATATTAATCAAGCAGGCTATTAGAAATGAAAGTCATGAGGAATTAATGAGATTTTACTGGATGAGAAATTGTTAAATGGACTCGGGAAGAAAATTCAAGGCTCTTACAGAACAAGAACTTTGAGGAAATGTTGTCGTGGTTTTGTTAAGTTATTGTTATCATATCGAATATGATGATAAATGTTAGAGTGATGATCTCTTCGAATTCGCAAGATCTACTAAATGGGAGGCAAGAAATATTATTTGACCCAAGATCTTGTAACAGTTGCACTGAACTCCATTCAATGTTTGTTCTGTGTTAAGGATGTCTGTTTAAGATGGAGAAAAAGAAACTTAACTTTCGATATAGGAAAGTTCTTTGAACATCAAATGTTCTGTTTTTATAAAGTTAAAAAAAGTGTTCAAACATGAAAAGTGGGATTTTAATTCAGGCAATAATGTCTACGGCCATATCATCAGCGGTGCTGTGCTTACCACAATGTGTATACATGTGCCATATACTTGTAGATTTAGGGTGATTTTCGTTTTCTTTTGTGCAGAGTACAGTATGTGTGCAAGTCTCTGCTGACAAAATGCAATATGAAGCTACGCATAAACGTTTATTTTGGAAACTGTGATAACACGAAGGTTGGTTTGATGAAGTGACAATGGCTGGACATCATTTATCATGGCATAATATTAATAAATGAATGGATCTGACATGTTCGACTGATCTCAAATGATACGAGGGATCTCGGAACACCTCTTGGGATCCTTAGGGCAATATCAAGAAGATCATCAGGGATCATAAAAGTCACTGAGGACTTCAGGTCATGGTCATCGAGGATATCCAGGTCATCAGGGTTTGAAGGTCACAAGAGATCTCAAGACTGATAGACATACATGAGGAAGATTTATGTATAACATGTTCTTTCAAGTATTGGAAGTTCCACAAAATGGCACAAATTTCAGTATTACCAGTTACTAGAATTGTAATATTTCTTCTTTGCTGAAAAATTGGGATATATGCAAGAGTGCATAATCAATATATGTTGACAATTTTGTATTTTTAACAATCAATCAGATTTAAAGCAAAAGGGGGTGTTTCTACAAATCTTTATTATTTTGTATTTTTAAGCATCAGATATGATACACATAATTTGGATATTTGTGTTTCTATATCTTTTTCTATGTTTTTAAAAGTACAGCAATCACATATGAAGCCTGATTGAAGGTGTGATTTGGATATATTCAAAGTTGTAGACAAGGAAACTAACATGGATGACCGATTTTGAATCAAGTGAACTTTTTACTTTGATCAATGTTTTTTAAAATGTTTTTATTTTATTAAATTCGCATGATTTTTTTTAAAGTAAATAATTGCATGTTTTTTTTAGTTATATACAGCATTGACAGTTTGTTAGAACAGTACTCTTTCAACGTTGTTCTATGTCATTGAAATGGAGAAAAAATCATTTCTTCTGTTGGAAATCTACTACAGTATGTAAATGGTTGTACTGTACATGTATTTCTTTTTACCAAAAAAAAGTTAACTTGAAGTGATTAATTATAGTAAAAAAACCACCCGAAAATGCCATTTGATTCAAAGAAATTAAAAAAATCCAGGTATTATGCTAATCACAGAACTGCTGAAAATTATTTGTGAAGTTTCTTGAACAAAAACCAAGTAAGAAGTAATTTCCAAAATTGAATTCAATTTCTTTTCAATTCTAGAACAGTGATCCTATGTAAGGTGAAATTTGATTGTTATGAAACCAGATGAATAAATCTTCTCTTAGCAGATGACGGGGAAGAAAGAATCTCAGTATAGAAATAAATCTATATATATATAGAGTGCATATGTATTTAAACGATAGTACATCTAGTTTTTTGTAATCACCCAGCACCTATTGATATATTGTCCCACTCTTTGCAATACATGTATCCTTGTTATAATTCAATACGGCATTGGTTGTGGTAGATTTTACTGAGGCAGCTATTCACCATAGACTGTATGTATATATACCTATCTCTGGGCTCAATGCAGACACATTAAACCATATATAACCAGTTATGTTTAGCTTAAAACTTACGGGAACAATGACAATAATTTCATCCGTTGATATGTCAAGGAAGTAATGGTTAGAAATGCTATAGAAAACACCTGTGAAAAGCCGTGAAGTCATTACTTTAGAAATCATAATTGTTTAATCTCTCAAAACAAAAATGTGAACAAAACATCAGCTGCCCTTATCAAATAAAACAAAGTAATGAGAGAACACTCAGAAAACCGTTCTCTAGCTAAAAAGGAAATATTAACTGCCTCCTGACTTTAAATAGGCATAGCTACATATATAAGTAAGCTACCAAAATACTTATTCCGCTCTAAAAAGTAAAAAAAAATAACCATGAATGACTTTCCATGTCGATGGTTAAGTACTATTTCAGCTTCATGTTTATTTGTATGTGTAATGCAAAAAAGGAAGAATATTCCAAGTTTGATAATATGCTACACTTGATTACCAAATAAAATAGATTTAATGAGATGATTAAAGAGAAACTTGTTCTGAGTATTTTAAATTCGAAGTTAATTTTTATAAAACAACCGTAACATTGGAATTTAAAACTTTGAATACCAAAGATGATTGAGTATTTTTATAGCTTTTGAATGTCATACTCAGGTTAATTTTCATGTGATATAGAAATAACAGCATTTGGGGAAAACTGGCAGATACAGATTTTATAGCAAAAATAGAGTATTAAGGGTTATTCAACAATTACCTGTTTAAATTCAGCAATTACCTATTTAATAGCTTCAAATAACCATGAACACTGTATTTGTCTTGGAAAAATTTCATGTTTAAAGATTGAAAACTTGTTTTTTTAAAAGGACAAAAGTGGAATCGGCATTCTTTGTTCAATTGATCAAAGTTATTTGCAATAAACATATGAATGTCACATTTTTAGGTCACCTGAGCTTTAGCTCAAGTGACCTATTGCTATCCGTTTTCGTCCGTCGTCGTCCGTCGTCCGTCGTCCGTCGTACGTCGTCCGTCGTCCGTCGTCCGTCGTCCGTCGTCCGTTAACATTTTACATTTCAAACTTAAAGTCAAGTTCTGCTGGGCCGATTGAACTGAAAGTTGATAGGAATGATCGCCTCATGGTCCTGACAAAGTGTTGTTATTTTTCGGGTCGATCAGAAATCCAATATGGCCGCCACGGCCGCCATTTTGAAAACCTATTTCAAACTTAAAGTCAAGTTCTGCTGGACCGATTGAACTTAAAGTTTGTAGGAATGATCGACTCATGGTCCTGACAAAGTGTTGTTATTTTTCAGGTCAATCATAAATCCAATATGGCCGCCACGGCCACCATTTTGAAAACATATTTCAAACTTAAAGTCAAGTTCTGCTAGGCCGATTGAACTGAAACTTTGTAGGAATGATTGACTCATGGTCCTGACAAAGTGTTGTTATTTTTCAGGTCGATCAGAAATCCAATATGGCCACCACAGCTGCCATTTTGGTAAACTATTTCAAACTTAAAGTAAAGATCTACTTGGCCGATTGAACTGAAACTTTGTAGGAATGATCGAATCATGGTCCTGACAAAGTGTTGTTATTTTTCGGGTCAATCAGAAATACAATTTGGCTGCCATGGCCGCTATTTTGCTACTAAGTTCTAATAGGCCGATCTCACTTAAAATTGGTCTAGGAATGATCAGCTCATGGTCCTGACAAAGTTAAGTTAACATTATACTATTTTTTACTCAAATTGGTACATATTTCAACAACAAAAATAAATACTATAGACTCAGGTGACCGTTAAGGCCCATGGGCCTCTTGTATTGAAATGTTAAAGATTTTAGTTGCATGTTGTGATAAAGATTAAGAACATATGCAAAATATTTATGTTTTGTCCTGTTTTCCGTGGTACCTTTCTTTGAATATTGAATTGTTCTTCTTTCTTTTTTTTTCACTGTGTACTTTACAATAGTGATTATTGTAGATTAAATTTATCAGAGAGTGTTGTACTATTAAAACGTATGTAAACTTCTGAGTTAGGACCTAGAAGGGCAGGCAAGACACTGAACTGCTTGCATTGAGGTTATTGGAGAATATCTTGCAATGGAAAGTTGGCAGTCCACACCCCTGTCCTGTGTGTACAATAGAACTAGGCTTGTCCAGACTTGTTGGTGTGAGCATAAAGATGAAACTGGATAGTCCAGCCATTTGGGTTTCTTTCTACAGTAGATCCTTGTTGAATAGCCGAGACACATGTATTAGTAATGTAATAACCTGGTCACAATGGACATACAGGTCTTTGTATACAATGAAACCTAGTATGTTCAAAGCCGGAGGAATCTGATAGACAATTTAATGTTTCAGCTAGTATATTTTAAAAAGCATTTAAATTCAAAACTCAAATTAATGTATGAGGATGAAAATTTCCGTCGGAAGACAATTTTATTCTTAACTTTGGATATTTCTTCAAAACTTGTAATATTAACAAATTGCTTTAGCTTAGCAATTTTTTAAAGTACTGGGCCCAGGATGTTCAGTGATTAGAAATAAATAAAAAATGAAAGTTTTAAAATGTACCTTTTTAAACATACTTAAACAAGTTTCCTTGGATTGACAGTTTTAGGTATCAGTACACACAGTTATTGAACTCCTATAGCAATTCATTTATTGGTGTTTATTATAAACATGATTTTCACCAATATTTATTTCACATATGTTATTGGATGTATTTTTAAAAAGAACTTTGTGAGATACATTAATTTTCATTCAATATTCTGTGCAAGTTAACACCGTAAGACATCACACCAAAATACAAGTAATTTACAATAGCTAAGGTGAGAAGACTATTCAATATCAAGTTAGGTAAATTCGGTTGTATGAGGAATTTCGTTGATGATGTCACATGAATAAAATTCTGATATCTTGACACAGTGAGTTAACATTGAATGAAGTTAAGATATAATTCATGTAGTTGATCGAAATACGAAAAAATCATCTGTAGTTCATCTATGCAAATATCATTGTGTTCCCTGTTTTTGTTTTGGAGTCTGATACTTATTGATATTTGTGAAGCCTTGAGGATGCAGTTTGTGACTGTAGTTATGTATATAGTGTTATTTACTGGGCCACATTGGATAGTAATCACACCAGTCATTGTTCATGAGACAGGAAAGTGTTTATATATATATATAATTGTGCAAACCATACCAGTTAATCTTCCCTGTAGTTTCGCCCTGTACATACATAGGCAGCAGTTCAATAGTGTTATTTATATACCAGACCATGGGGTAAGATAGCTGAATCAAAGTTTGGATCCTTATGAAGTATCGTTGTTGTAATAATTTTTTGTTGGTGTATATTTTAACTTCATGTCCGAGTATCAAATACTCTAATGGGGCAACGTTTTGTGTATATATTCAGACCCCATTCCATGTAAATATATAAATAAGTTTTAAATTTTAAATCATTGAATTATCTTCCCATTCATATTGCAGCAGCAGCATTCATTTTAATTTGTCGTTTTTCTCATTATTGGAAATTAATTAGCAATGTGTTTCACTGTGTTTCTTATATATGTTATGTAGAAAATAAATCTAATTTAATGTATTCGTGTAAATATTCGTCAACTAAACCTGAATGATTTTAGGGGCTGCCATTTGTCAGTATATACAACGTTTGTACAAGTTGTTTTTTTCATCACAGGTTGTTTTGATCACTATTTATAACCATTTGCTGGGTAGAATCATTTTTATAATTTTCTCCCCTGTGTTTCCTACATATTTTTACATTTGATCAATTTTATTATATACTGGTCATTCATTTTACATTATCTCCCCTTTTTGAACAAAGTGCATTATTGTGCCACCACAATTTGAATCCATGTCATGTTGATGCTTGATTTCCATAGTATCTCGTGTGTTTTTGTTTGGCCTTCCATGATCAATTAATTACATACAATGTTGTTCTTTGCTTGCTTTTTGTATCACAATTGAAAATCACTTGCTTCAATAATGAAATTTTGTAGAAAATTCTCTGAATGAAATTTGTATAAACATCAAATTTTGATCATGTTTCATATTTGAAAATGAAATCTCCTGTATTTTTGTCTGTCCCCGGAACTTACAAGTTTCTAAGAGTTGTATGTGATTGTAGTACACATACCTGTATTCCCAGTTATATCAAGTTACATGTGTCGTATAGTGTTAATACCCGAGTATGACGCCACATGGTTCGTTACTGTTGCTTATATTTAAGTCACATACCAAAAGAATTGACAAGGATGTGACAATAAAAAATCAAACCTTAATTTTTTGTTATCTTATTTTTCTACCGCTGCTTTAACTGATGTAAATATACCAGGGTAGTATTCGCTTTTTCCATCTGACTAAATATTGTTTGCAGAGCATATCTCAACCTGTGTTTCAGGAATCAGCTTCAAACTTAAAATATAGGTATGTCATAGGAAGGCAGTGTGTTGCATACAAAAATGAGGTCGCAGTGACTTCTATTTGACCTTGTGCATTAACATCAAGTACTAAATTAATGGTTTTCAGAGCATATCACAGCCACTGTTTCATGAATGAGCATAAAACTTAGTATGGATACATCAGGGAAGGGGTACATCCCCAAAAGATGTGTTCAATATTTGACCTATGCCTTTGCTTGGACTAAAATAAAGTGTAATACAGGTGCCTAGGGCATGAATGGGTATCAAACTCTGTGTATAGGTACCACATACAAAGGCAGCATGTTGCATACTAAAATGAGGTCAAAGTGACCAGATTGACCTCAAATACTAAAATAATGGTGTCTTGAGCATATCTCAGCCGCTGTGTTTTTGAATGGCCATTCACTTTTCATATAGGTCCATCACGGGAGGGTGGTTTTTGGCATCCCCAAATGGGATGAATAAACTAGGACCTTTCTTTGACCTTAAATTCATGTACTAATATATAAGTGTAATACAAGTTTCCGAACCCTGTTTTGACTTCCATTTCACGTATTTGACTTCAGAGGTAGTGTGTGGGTACTTTATAGCCAAGGAACATGTCACAAAATATAATTGATTCATTACAACCTACAAGATTGAAATACATCGTAGGCATATGTTTCTGGAGGATATGTTGGTTACCGGTGTTTATGGACGTCCGATTTTATGTGAAGATACGACATGATCTGGCGGCGTATCTTGTAAAACAGTATGGTTCATAAGGTCGGTGCCCAACTCCTTGATCTTGACCTCCAGTACCACATACTTTAAACATGAACAGATATGTCGGGAGCGGATATTTGTGAAACCCATGAAATAAAGTATTTGTGGAATATAATTATGTTACCTTGACCTTGTTGGCAATTTGAATTTTAACCTCAGTAACTTTGAAATTTCGCAATGGAAATGTCAATTTCTTTTCTGTGAGAGAATGTAGCAAATTCATGCCAAAGTTTAACGGATAATGTTAAAATTGGAACAGTTTAAGTATAATGAAAATGGGAGTCAAAGAGGAAGGAAGTGAAAATACAAGAACTAGACACCAGAACAGGACAGAATACAAACCACTACACAAACATTTGTAGGCGAAACAATGTGACCTGGAAGAGTTTCCTGCACCGCTAGCCCGAGTTTTCTCTGGCCCTGCCACCAGAATTAAGACATTTTGACAGATAGATGTCTGGTGTAAGACATCTATCTGACAAAATGTCTATGTCTGGTGTCGAGCCAGAGGAAAATCATGCTACTGCAACGCGTGTGTCATCCCTCTGTCTGCTGTGCAGGACACTTCATCAGTCACCAACAGCGAGTCCAGGCAGATAATGTAAACACCATCGTTAGAAAACAGGTCATGGTGACGACAGTAGCCACAGTGTAGATTGAATCACCTCCGATAGAAAACCTTGGCTTATATCATAGTTTGTTTGAGTTGACAGGACATCCATGTACAGCCAAAACTTTCCCAGATAACCTCTTCTACGGGAATCCATCATGTGGTGTCTTATTTAAGAATCAGTTAACATAGAAAATAAAGAGTTTTAAAGTGGTCTTTTAAAAGGGTATATTAAGCGGGTTTGGCTGACTTTGAACAGGCTCTGTCTTAGTGGGCTCATTTGTAGAATGTGAAATGCAGTAGACTATTTTATTTTTTCTGTGGCATAATAGGTATTTATTTGGTTGTACTTATTCCATACCTCCATTGTATGTTGGGTTAACGATGGAAAGCAATTTTCTGCAATACAGTATCGGAGAAAAGATGTCGGGGTCACTCAGCAACCTTCCACTGCTTTCGAAAAAAACATCTGAAATGGTGCGTGGACTACATACCAAACCACTTGTTCAAGTCATAGTGTACATATACAACAAGGAAAGAGAAGCTTAAACAATTTCCCTAAGTATAAATATTAGGAATAGAAACGCATCACACGAGTAATTCTGCGTCGATAATGATTAATGTATAACTATGCCGTCGTATGCCCATATGTAAGTTAGACTCCTTATAGTGTGCAATAGTGTCCATCAGAGTGACGGCTTTCTGCTCCAGACGCTCCATAAAAAGATAAGCAACAATAGGTAATACTGGGCTCCCAATTACTGCCAAAAACTTCTGACTGTAAATTGTGCCCCTGAATGAGAAATGGGTGGTGTTGAGTATCAACTCAAACAATTCAATGATGTTGTCAATAGGAAGACTTCTTTAGGGTTCTGTTTCCTTTAACCTAACCATTATTACACTGACCACCTCGTCCACATGTGTATTGGTACAAGAGGGACAATAAGTCATGCAAGTTAAAAACCACCTCTGATCTTGATTGGCCTGCTTTTGACTGTGGGAGCTTTGAAACTGCTATTCCTGTGGCCGCTACAAACTCTTACACCGGTAATGATTAGGAGTGATGGTATGATTGAAACCCTTAGCTTTGGTCTGGTCGTCTGTCAACTGTACTTCCTGATATAAATGGCCCATTTCTTGAGCTGAGTGCCAGATAGATCTACGTTATAACAATCATCTTTTCCCGCTGTCTTTCTTTACATTTCGCGCTGTAGGCCCTGACCTGATCACCGGTGTCAAAATCAATAAATCGTTGTTTATACTGTTACGTAATCGATGATGTTGTTTATTGGTTCTTACTCTTTCGCTTGATAACTGCTTTTCTGTGCTATCTATGGTGTTACGAGCCGTAAGTGTGTTGATAGGGTAACTTTAACATCTTAGGGTACATTTCTTATTGACTCTCTCTGCTTGTCTCTGTATCTGTATCTGTCTTAATGTTTGGACGGAGAACCATCCTCGATATCCAGAGGTTACGCTCCCTATTCGGTCTCTAGTACTACAGAGCGAATGTGAGAGTAACTCCTGAATATCGAGGATGACGGAGAACTGGCCATATCTCAATCTTATATTCGGTCAGTAAAGTGAGCTGTCAGAGACGTATCGCCAAATATCACTCTAATAATGCAGGCAGTCAAAGGGACGGAAAGGATATGTATACGTATTACCCGTTTCTTTGACTCCTGCAGTATTTGAGACCCTGACAAAAGTTTACAGATTGAATAGAAATTAAACACATTTTCTCATGGATCACAGGACTGGGGCCTTGTAATCCCATATAAATTCACAGTTGTTAATTAAGATATCCTCAAGATATATCAGTCCTTTTCCTGACAGTTGCCATCTGTCTCTATGTTGGTCACTCCCCAACATTATTTTATCGGCGAATCAACAGTAACACGTAAAAAGGTTGTAATACGCTGTACAGTTTTATGTATTAATTTGCTTTGCTGCGCCATTACAATTTTAAATATTGGTTGAAATTAAAGCAGACGGATAATTTGATTTTGAAAACATGTTACGATGAGTGTGTGAGTGAGAATCATTTGTGGGTAAGAAATATTAAGAATGAGTTAGCAACCTTAGGACTTAATTACATGTTTGACACTTCATTACCATTTACTGTTTCTTTTAAAATAATTAAACAGAGACTGATAGATACTTCCAAACAAAGCATATTGTCAAAAGTAACGGCTTCTCCTAAAGGGTTTTTATATCAACACTTAATAGATAGTCATTGTATTCAATTTTGTTTAAGTAAACCTATTGAAAATAAATACAAACAAATGTTTACTAAATTTAGAATATGGTCTCATAAATTAAATATGAAGACATCATAACGTCACACGCAGAAACAGGATTTGTAACAAATGTAATTTGAGAGATATAGAAGACGAGTTTCATTTTATTTTGTTTTGTCCATTTTATAGCGATCTCAGGCACAGATTAATCAAACAATATTATTACAGAAAACCCTCGATTTTTAAATTAATACAACTACTTAGTATGAATAATGTTAGGAGAGCTATCCAATTTAGGAAAATATTTATATTTATCATTTAAGAGGCGTTAATTTAAGGTTTATGTATTGTGGTGTTTCATAACTGCAATGTGTTAATTTCAAGTATTGTTATATGCACATTATTGAACGGTGTTTTATGTATACTGTGATGTCACACTCCTGTCTATTCTAATTATGTTTAGAAAATGTTATATGCATATATGTATGTACCTATAAAGAACTGAACTTCTCAGACAACGACAACAAAAACAATTGTAATACGACCCAAGGCCTCTTAGGTCGGGCTCAGTCGCTCATATAGATAGACGGACGGACGGGCTTGGTGTAATTATAAAGACCCCATCCAAGTTTTAAATCATGACGAGGAAGAAAGAAACGCAGACGTTTGACCTTTTGCTTGTAACATGCATACATGGAATAGCACGCAAAACAGAAACCGAAATGCACACTGTGTCGTCTGCTACGTACAACAAATGTATTTGCATACAATGAAGTCCCAAACATGACTACTCATGTATTTTAACTTTTTCGTATTTTTTGAATGATTTTTTATTCATATGTTAAAAAAAATATCTCCCAATGATATCATCATTAAGCCAGAGGGGGGTTATTTTCACTAAAAGTTTGACTTTAGCAACTGCTAGGACGAACGCAGATGTCTAATGTCTAAAATGTCTTTCGAGTTTCACTAGACGTTCTTGATGGCTCTCTGCATGTTTTTATTGTTGGAAAGAAATCTTTTTAAAAGACGATGATGACGATGACGACGATGATGATGATGAAAAGATGAAGGATGATGATGATGCTGATGAAGATCATTTTGACGAAAGGATGACGATGATGATGATGATAATGTTGATGATGATGATGATGATGATGATGATGATGATGAATTTCGATCAAAGGATGATGATATGATGACGCTTGTTAAACGATATTTTCATGATGATAAGGATGATAGTCTTGGAATGTAGATAATATTAACACATGTATTGTCTTTCACATAAGACATTATATACAATTTTCTAATCGGTTTTTCTTTCTCACAATAATATGGCCAGCCTCTGCAAGAGGTCTTAATGACGTAGGTTGCTTACAACTAAAAATAGACATATGTACGTTCAACACTATACACACGGTATTACCAAGTATATGGAAGTTTCCAGATTTGCGTGTACACGTACATCTATTTGGATGCTGAATGAAGCGTTTATCACTCAACTGTGTAGTCGATTATCTGTTATTGTGATATAGGTTATATGATTAGACAAGGGAAAATGGATTTCATTGGAATCATATATATACTAACGACGGTCGTCTTGACAAGCGGTAAGTGGCCTGTTAGTACATATGTTATAGTTAGTTTGCTATAAAGCATTGTTTTAATCTCATCCACTAGTTTAACCCGGCTACTTTAGTGAGTGCAGATGCACACAGTGTAGTCCACAAGGACCTGAGAATTTGTTACAGCTTTATTGAACATAAACTAAGGTGTTCAGAATAATTTTACACAGTTCAGGGGTTGAGATTTTTGGAAAAATGTCTCTCCCTATGATATCATTATTTGGCAGGGGGGTGTAATTTTTAATAAAAATTGGATATTACGCAAATGTCTAAAATCATAAAATCACTTTAGATTTTCACCAGACGTTCTTGTGCATGCTTTTATTAATGGAAAGAAAACTTTTGATAAGATGATGATGATGAAAATATATTTTTTTTGATGATAATGATGATAATGATGAAGATTATTTTGATGAATTATGAGGAATGCTGCTGCTGCTGATGATGAAGCATGACGATGATGATGATGATGATGTTGATGATGATGATGATGATGATGATGATGATGATGATGATGATGAATTTCGATCAAAGGATGATGATATGATGACGCTTGTTAAACGATATTTTCATGATGATAAGGATGATAGTCTTGGAATGTAGATAATATTAACACATGTATTGTCTGTCACATAAGACATTATATACAATTTTCTAATCGGTTTTTCTTTCTCACAATAATATGGCCAGCCTCTGCAAGAGGTCTTAATGACGTAGGTTGCTTACAACTAAAAATAGACATATGTACGTTCAACACTAT